AGGATCGGACATTGTTTCGTTCTGCTGTGCATGGGGTTGCTATGAGTCGGTTCTGACTCGATGGCACCTGACAACAACAACAACAACAACAACAATGAGATTGATTAACACAGTGGCTACAACAATGAACTGAAACATAACAAAGATTGATAGGATGGTGCATGACTGGACAGTGTTTCATTCTGTTGTGTACAAGGTCACTATAAATTGGAACTGACTTGATGGCATCTAACAAAACAAACAACAACTATATACATAAAATCAGTTTCTTTCCAATATATGATGGTAAGTCAAAAAGCATTACTAATAGGATTCTAATTTACACATGCATCTATTACAAACAAAATGTGTTTAAGCATATCTCTGTGATCAGTAGATGACTGAAGTCAAGTTCTCTCAGCAATACACTTAGTATTACTAGTATGACTTCAAAGAAAGGTCCAACAACAGTGTCTTCCAAAGGTGTCTTAGCTATCTTGTTGTTGTTGTTAAGTGCCATCGAGTCGGGTCCGACCCATAGCGACCCTGTACAGGGTTTCCGAGGGTGTAAATCTTTATGGGAGTAGAAAGCCTCATCTTTCTCCCGCGGAGCGGCTGGTAGTTTCGAACCGCTGACCCTAAGGTTCGCAGCCCGATTCGTAACCACTACGCTACCAGAGCTCCTTGTCTTAGCTATCTAGTACTGGTTTAATAGTGGATGCCTTTAACAAACAAAAATGTATTCTCTCACACTTTAGTGGACTAGAAGCCCAAATTCATAATGCCAACTCTAGGGGAAGGCTTTTTTCTGTGTTTGCTCTGGGGAAATGTCCTTGTCTCCTTTCAACATCTTTGGGTCTGGATCCCTTGAAGATCTCCATGTTTCTCAACATCAATCCCTCCTAGGTTCTAGGAGGTTCACAGCCCAGGGACCCTGTGAGTAAAAGACATGCTCCTTTCCTGGCTCTTATTCTTGGTGGCAGTAGGTCCCTCTCTCTCTGTACACTTCACTCTCCTTTTCTCTCTTGAAAGGGTATAGCATCCCACCCTTAATCCTCTTACTGGTTCACCACATCACTGCCAATCTAATGAGACTCATGGACCAGCCAATTTGACACATACTTTACAGTGGTACAATTTAATTTATGACAGAGGGAATCTGCTGAGCCAGTTAAATTCTAAGCAGAGAGATGAAATCAGAAAGGTTATGATGATTCTTTTTTGGGAATTCCCAAGGGGTAATCTTGATAAATTCTCTCAAAGAACATAAGATGATCATGGGGGCTAATTATGAAGAAGTTAAAAAAAAATTGAAAATTCACTGGTGAGAAAAAGACCTGGAAAGCTACACCAAGGAATTTTTTTTCCTTCACAATGCACCTTCTCATTCTTTGAGAGTAGCAAGGGTTATCCTATGAGAATTTTATTCAGAAGCCATATGCCTTCAGACTTCTTTTTGCTCCCAAAATGCAAAGAACATTTCAAAGGAATATTTTTTTGAGTCCCTTGAGAATGCCAAAACTGCCATTTTGAGATGGTACAAATCTCAGAATTCTTCAGGGAAGGTTTACAGATAGAAACATGGCTTTTATAAATGTATAGACTTAGATGCAGGATATGTCATGAAAAATTAGCTTTACATTTTGCTATTTTTGTTTAGTAAAGGTAACTATGTTTTGTACCAATATCTTTGGCTTATTCTCATATATAAAAATCAACAAATAACCAGCAACGTTAAAAACAATTCTGTTTGTACAACACTCCAAGTTATCTGGTATACATTTTGGGAAAAGCTGCCTATAGGGAATGAGTTGAATCTTGAAAATACTATGCTGGGTGAAAAGTCCATCTGCTGTCACATTTTTTGGCGTATTTTTTTTTTTAAAGTTTTTATTATGAACTGAGTGATAATTTACATGGGAAAACATTGGTTTTACACCATCTTTTCATTGCAATGATTACAATCTCCTTCATGCATCATCATTCAACAGTATTTGCTTTTATTCCCTCTGTTTTTTTTTTTTTTGGGGGGGGAGTGTACACAAAAACACTCAGTAATATGTAATAATTAAAACAACCAAAGGACATATTCTGCAAGCCTGTCTCCTGGTCACCAGCACCCAGTCCCTCTCTTTCCATTGAGTCCAGAGTCCTCAATTGCTCCCTCTCTCCATATCGTCATCTATGGCTCCATCTATGATGTTGCTGCTTCTCCGGATAGGGTCCCACACTCTGCTTGTGCTAATCTCCCTTGATGGTCTTAGGGTCCTCTGCCTCTGGACTGCAAGAGTACCTACTCTCCCCATTTTTGCTACAAAACTTCTACCTTACAGTTGTGACAGTCACAACTAGTCATGGTAACAATTACTCACTATTGAAGCATATGAATCTTATCCCTATCTCTTTTCACCACACCCATCTAGACAAGATGAAAACTACACAGTGGGGTGTCTACCTTCCTCCACACACTCTTAAACTAAACTTCTCCTTGAAAACTTGTAAGACAGTCACTTCCTGCCTTAATTGCCCCCTCATTTTAGGTAGCCAATGTCTAAGTTGCCCATCCCTATTTACCCTGTATACAGAGGGCATAGGATTGATAATTGCGGTGAAGACTACTTCCCTCTCAGTTGGTATTTTGAGCTACTATATCCATAAGTATAGGTCAAGTTCATCAAATTGTAGCAATTTACACATTTCCTTTATGAAAAAAAATTTTTATCTTTCTCTAGTAAAGTTCTGATTATCAAGCCATCAAGGCTAGGTCAAATGGGTACTATCTGCAAGTTTGGGCATTCTGGTAAGTCTCCCCTCACTTCATATCAGCTGGATGCTTCACTCTCAGCTCTAGCCCTCTGTGGCTATGTCCTGTCCATGGGCTGAGGAGTCCCCAGCCCTCACCACACTTCAGACCAACCAGCCCTTCCTTTTCTCTCATCTCCAGGTCGACAGGAGTCTATGGAATGTCCATTCACCTTTTTTAAAAAGTTAAACATCCTATAACTGCTAAGAAGTGTCTGCTATAAAAAATAGAGCTCAAAACTCCTAATCTATTTGAAGTAGTTAACTGTTTAAACTCATAGCTAAAAAAGAAAAGCTAAATTTTGTTTTAAAAACAGAACCAACTTCTTTTCATTGCATCTTCCCTTGAATCTCTTTAAATGTTGACTTGTCCATGGGCCATGCTACTAAGGAAGATGCTCTACGGTTAAAATTAACTAAATTCAGCAACACACCAGTCATGACTCCAAGGAAACATAAGGATAGAAAATACAGGTGGTAAAATTTAAGCTAAAGCAAGTTTCATTTATGACACTTTTGAAAAACAGCAACCGTTTCTATGTTTAAAAAGAAACAAAACCACACACAAACCTACCACTTCTCATTATGCTGACCCCGCAATTTCCCTTCTCAAATTTCACTCCTTCATATTTGTACCCTGTTGAGGGAGAATAAAAGCAAAAATTTATCTTTCATTAGTGGCACAACCTACTTATTTTATAAGTTGTCCATAGTTTAAAAGCAGATGAGTACAGAGCAACTCTTATCCAAACACACTGTAACAAGGAAGCTTCAAAAAGTTTGTGGGAGAATTCCATTATCATTTTTTTTTTAATTTTTAATGTTTTATTGTGAATTGTATGATAGTTTACATGGGAGAACATTAGCTTTACATTCATTCTATTGTATACCGTTTCATTGCCATTGTTATAATCCCCTCCATGCATCATCAGCCTGCTCCCAGTCATCAGCACACAGCTCCTCTCCCTCTCTGGGTCTAAAGTCCCCAGCTGCTCTATCTCTCCACCTCATCGTCTCTGCCTCCATCTCCAGCATCATTGCTTCTTTGGGTAGGGCCCTGCTCTCAGCTATTCTCCGTTGATGGTCCTAGGGACCTCTGCTCCTAGACTGGAAAGTTAATCACTCCCTTCCTTACTATAAAACATCTACCTTTACATTTCCAACCCTCACAATCAGTCCTGATAACAATTATTCACTATTGTATCACAAGAGACCCATCTGCATTTCA